AGAATATGACAATTAAGAAGATGGTGCGCGAAATTTTTCTTGAAATTCAATTTTTCGATTTTCGATAATGATTTTGGATAAATTTTTCGACTTTTTATTAGGAGAATATGATAACTAAGGAGGTGGCATAGGAAATTCTTCTTAAAATTCAATTTCTCAAAGATTTTGACTAAAATCATCGATTTTTTATTAGGAGAATATAGTATACAAAGATGGCAGGCAATATTTTCCTTAAAATTCAATTTTACAAAAATTCTGATAAAATTTTCGACTTTGTATCATGAGAATATAACTTGAGAGGAAGTCGTTCGAGAAATTTTTCCAAGAATTTCAGCAGTTCCTGGAAATGATATCAAATTCCCGGAATTTCCATAATTTTTGGAAATAACATCAAATTCCAGGAAATTTCGAATTGATAAATTTCCGTGTGAAAAGGAATTGATAAATTTGCGTGAAGAAGAAGAATTCTGTTCAATATTTTTCGATATTAAAATAACTTACTACGAAAAAATATTGCAAATCATTCGATCTTAGAAAAATACTAGGTACTTTATATTCGATTCTAGAGAATCAAAGTATTCCGTTATCTAATTTTCAAGATTATTTTATGTATATCTCATGGCCTAATAAAAATTTTAATTTATACAAAGCGAACTTAATAAATAATATCCTGTCTCTGGAATTTATTCTATGACATCACACTCTTTTACAAAGTATTTAATGATGGCGAATGTTGAGGTATTCATCAACTTGTCCTAAAATATTCTTTTAGCAAAAGAATATTCTTTTAGAAAAAGAAAGTAAAAGGGAATAGAAATTGAAACGGAAGAGGCAAGAATAGAAGGAGAGACAGGAGTTGACTCGTTCCAAGATACGCTTTTGTCTGGATAGTTGACAAAGTTCTTTTCCTTGAAATCGGATGATTCTCACCCGTTTAAACGTATTGAGTGACCAACACCGATTTCCACGAGATAGAAAAATTCCGAATGCTTCTTTACATAAATATTCTCGTAATAAAAAGTCGAAAATTTTAACCAGAATCTTTGAGAAATTGAATTTTAAGAAGAATTTTGCCTGCCTCTTTACATATCATATTCTCCTAATAAAAATTCGAAGATTTTAGTCAGAAACTTTGAGAAATTGAATTTTAAGAAAAATTTTGCCTGCCACCTCTTTGCATATCATATTCTCCTAATAAAAAGTCGAAGATTTTAGTCAGAATGTTTGAGAAATTGAATTTTAAAAAAATTTCCTATGCCACCTCCTTAGTTATCATATTCTCCTAATAAAAAGTGTAAAATTTTGCCAAAATTTTTTAAAATTGAATTTTATGAAAAATTTTGCCTGCCACCTCTTTACATATCATATTCTCCTAATAAAAAGTCGAAGATTTTGGTCAGAATCTTTGAGAAATTGAATTTTAAGAAAAATTTTGCCTGCCACCTCTTTGCATATCATATTCTCCTAATAAAAAGTCGAAGATTTTAGTCAGAATGTTTGAGAAATTGAATTTTAAAAAAATTACCTATGCCACTTCCTTAGTTATCATATTCTCCTAATAAAAATTCGAAAAGTTTATCCAAAATCGAAAAATTGAATTTCAAGAAAAATTTCGCGTGCCACCTCCTTAATTGTTATATTCTCCTAATAAAAAGTGGTAATTTTGATCAAAAAATTTTTTTGTCATATTTTCGATTTTATATTAGGAGAATATAATTGGACAAGAGGTGGCACATGAAATTTTTCCAGGAATTCGAAGATAAAAATTTTTGTCAAATTTTTCGCCTTTGTATTAGGAGAATATAATTCTAGAAGAGGTAGCATATTACATTTTCTTAAATTTGATATACTTACCTTATACTTACCTCATACTTACCTTTTTATTCTGCCTTATTATCATTTTTTGACATTTTTTCATTTATCAATTCCTCTTCACACGATGAATTATTTTTTTTTTCAGATGATTTTTCATATTCTATCAAGGATCTTAAATCTTCGAAAACTATATATTTTAACATATTGATACTTACTTTATAAATATTAATATATGTTATCTCCATTTATAAACGACTATAAGCACTAATAAAATTCTCCGCAAGAAAGAGTACAACAAGAGAATTAAATAATCATCACTGAAAAAGTTTCAATTACAAGTCGGGGATCTTCCATGGCCGAGTTGCCATTTATATTTATAGAGTTATAGAGTAAAAACTAGACACCAATGTCAGATCCAAATGAGTTTTCCACGAGATATCGTGATGAAAATTCATAGGGGTGGAGGGTGGAATCTGCGTTACACGTCTGGGATGCGATGCAAACGCGTGACGTGCGAAACGATGCTGCGAGCAAAAAGGGTTAAAGAAGGAACGTGACTTTTTTCCTTTGTGCAGGTTGCGCGGGTATCGCGCAAGAATGCGCTTTAAAATTCAAATTCCCGTGAACCTGTCGCGAGCCTGTCTCCAGGAAAAACTAAAAGGAACTGTCGCGTTGCAAATAATGGAAAATAATATACCGTTTTACCTTCGCGAGACTCCTTATCGCGAAACCGTAATAAAGAGCATTATACTATCGTTTAAAAGTTTAGAATCACTTTTAATATCCATGCCTCGTAAAGGAAGATATAAAAAATTTTTTAACTCTCTGTCCTTTATCCTTTAACATTTTATCGATACTCTGTACCACTGTGAATTGTTCAGTCGTTATCGGGAATATTTTCAGAAAATTGGAACGAACACCGATGAAATTATCTTCTCGAGATTGTTTCTTGCGAAAAATGGAACACTCTTAATGGTCACACGATTATATTACGCGGCGCAAATAAAAATTTGTTAAAATATCGTTTTACAGGTTTCCATTCTTATTTTTAAATATAATAAGTAGCAACGGATAAATGTTATTTTAATAAATATTTGTGAGTAAAGCTATCATTCGTCGTTTAATTAATAATCAACGAAAAATTCATTTTAATTTTTATCACAAAAGTATATATAATTTTCTTCGTTAAAGAAAAGAGAGAAAAAAAGAAGGATTTTCTAAGGAAGAGAGAGAAAACATCGTAACGTAATCAACGATGCAGAAGAAGATAGGTTCCTCGGGAAGGCAATAATGAAGGTTGGCTTTAATTGAATCCTTCCCAGGAAGTCCATAGAAGGCGTTAAACAAACTATCGGCATTCTAGCCACGTGGGAGTACGCGTTCGATGCTGGATCCACAATAAATCCTTTTCTTTCTTCGCGCAACCCATCCTTCCATCTTCCACCCTCCCTCCCTCTCTCCATTTTCCTTTTCTCGAGCTTTTTGTTTTGCCTCGCTGTATCCGGCCAGGCTGCGACTGCCGGTTTCCGGTCTGAAATTTCCGGCTTTGCTTAAGAGCTAATAGCACAGCCAGGAGAGCTACGTTTCCCTACCCTACAAACTGATCTATCTATCCTCTCGATTCCTTGACAGATAATCGTTCTCCCGGCGCAATTAATCCCATCTTCGATCCACCGATTTCTGAGGGGAGGGGGAAAAAATCATCGAGATGCGACAGGTTGATCGACGTCGAGATTCATTTCGTGAAGAATTTTTAAAATTGGATGTGACGAGTCGAAGAGATTTTTGGCGAAGCTCCAAAGTTGAAGAATAATTGAAGAATAATTTCTTAATTAAGTGGAACGTCGTCGCAGAGAATGTATTGATTCTTCAATTCCTCAATTCTTCGATTTTTCGTCAATTCTTCATTTCCATTCAAATTTTTTTTTTTTATTTTAAAAAATATCGTTTTTGTAAAATGTAGAAAGAAACGTTGAGGATCCAATACAATTTAAATTCAATTAAGAATTGAAACAAATATCCTTTTACGATACTTAAACGAACGCGGTAGCTAATGGCTTCAAAAGTGCCGCGGCTAAGAGAAAACTTGTGTTTTCTTGAATCAAACTTTAAATTTTGATCAAGACGAACAATTAAACTTTAAGTAAACTGAGAACTTGAGAAGCATTAAACCCGTTGAACAATATTTTCAAATAATCCTTTTATTCAACGAACAAAGAATTTCCCTTCCGTTCCAACGGAACGTCACGGATATCATTACAATTAATCCTGCCTTCGGATTAATTTCGAAACAATAGAAACAATACAGTGTAATTGATAGACTATCTCCCCTTTCGATATTATCGAAATCATCGAAATTATCGGTTATTATCGAACGCGATAGACAATCGCGTTCAAGGACGTAGAGGCGAGAGACAGAATGGGAAGACGAGGAGGAGGCAAAAGTGGATGGAGGCCAAGGTTCGTTTGAATATTCGAATGCAACGGTCGATCAATAAATAGACGCAATTCCTAGAGAGGAATATCCTGCGGGAATTCCCTTCCAATCCAATCCTTCCTATCCATTACCGATTTCTATTCAAAACCACGTTCGACGAAACCTCCCCCTTCCCCATTTCGCAACCGAAATGCACACGTGGCCCTTGTGTACCTGTCATTAGTGAATGCTAATGTCATTGTCACGTTCGACGTTGATCCCGCCTACGGACAAATCTCGCCTTCCACCACGAAACGATACCGAATCCCGATACCGTGTAATTTAATCACGGTAGATTCGTGGCAACGTGTAATTAACCTTCAAATAATATTATTGGGTCACGAGCAACTGATTTCGATTCCGTTTAACACGAGTTCTGTATTTAAAAGCGGTGGGAATCAATAATTGGTCTTCGTCCTCGCGTGTGAAGAAATTGAACGTGAAATATGAGATCAAGTTAAACGTACGATCAAACGTAGTAAGTTGTTAAGTCTTGGCTGGATATTAAATATTTATTTTATTTTTAATTTTTAGGAAAACAATATTTTTTTGTTCTTTTTTTTTTTTTTATGGTATCACATCAATTGAATAGGTTAGAATATAGTAGCCACATGCTCGATAAAAGTACGATAAATACATATCAGGATTAAGAAAAAAAAAAAAAAAAACAAAAAACAGAAAATATAAATTTTGCAATGATTACGACTAATCACATTTTGACATGACCAAAAATTTATTCCAAATTTGTTCACCGTTTCCTAGACTAAAATATCCCTCAAAAAAAGAGCAAGTAACGAATTAAAATTAACGAATTAAAAAGTAACTTTACACGAATATTAATCACACTATGAAAACGTCAATGTATTCCACACAATAAATCGTATTATCTCCGAGGTATCTTAAATTTCTCGAGATCACCTCTTTTCAGTACCAATCGACGCAAAAATAAAATATATATATATATATATATATATTAAAAAAAGAAAACGCAAAGAAAACTCTTCTTCGTTCGCTAAAATCAGAAAAGAAGAGATCGTAATTTCACGACAAATATTACGTCCAACCACCTTCCACCCCAATCAGCCCAGTTGCCCTAATCGATCCTCCGGAGCAGCCGTGTTCTCCGCCATGTTCCCCGGCTTTCTTCCTCCCCCTTCCTCCGATCAAGAGTCATTCGTCCTGCAAACACGCCGAGACGAGGACAAATAGCATTTGCGAGGAGCCTCGATCTTCCTGAAGGATCTTCGATTCGGCTGATTCTTTTCCCGACCGGTGATCACAGCCCCGATATCGTCCTCCTCCTCGTCGTGCCACGCCGCCATGCTGTGCCACCGATCCTCCTCGTGATCCGTTCGGTGATCCGTTTTCGTGAATCTCTCGATGGTGGCCGGTTTGCAGTGCTGTTTCGTGACAAAGTGATCCAACGGATCAAGATACTCAATTTCTTGCTTCGTCTCCACGGTCTCCAAATGGGACTCGCTCTCCTCCTTGGCGAAATCGAAGAGGCCGGCCATGTCCAACGTCACGTTCGTATACGAGTCCAACAGATTCAACTGCATCGAGTTGAGTACAACTTCACCAGGTGGATACTTGTCCCCGTAACAATTTCTCAGGCATTCCTCGAACGTTTTGAATCGGAACGAGTTGTAATTCCAGGTGATGTCGACTATAGGCAGGACTTGGCCGGTTTTCACGAACGTGGACGAGTGTTCCGCGATGTCGCTTTCGTTCGAATCCCTGTTCTTCATCTCGAAAGGGATCGACGTTAGAGCATCGTTCTGTATCAGATTCGGGGAGGATGAAACGGTTCTCAGGTTGGTCAACAATATCTTGGAATTGGAGCTGGCGACGTTGAATCCCGTCCGGTCTTTGGGATACTGTTGCATTATGTTGAGGGATGAGGTCTTGTCAGACTCTTCGGACGTGGTAGTGGTGGCGTAGTAGTGGAAGATCGTGCACAGCTTCTTTGGATCTGCCTGCACAAGTTTATCGTGATAAATACACGCGTAGAATTTATTTCTCACGTTTTATTTCCCTATTGGAAAGTTTGGTTAAGTTGGACGGATCGTACGGATGTTTATAATTAGATGATATAGGAGAAAGTTGACGAATTGTTGCAAGAATTTTAAATATATATAAATTTTACGTTGGTTGCTTAGACAAATTCTTCTCTCTAAATCTCTAATTTTTAATTTCCCTAATTTTTAGTTTCCTGACAACGACGAGCAAAAGGAAAAACGCGAATAAGCGTAATAATAACCTCAAAAAAGATATTCGAATTGCGAATTATACTTTCCTCGGAAATTAGAAAGAAGGAATATCGTATACTGCATGAGTTACGTACGATTAACATTTGGAGTTGAATGATGAGAGGAAATATGAGGATTACAGTGGCAAGGAGGGCGCAGATGCTTTCCATGATGAAGCTGACAAATCTTCCGTTTCTCTATGAAAATTCTAAGATCTCGACCGGTTTCTCAAACCGGGACGTCTTCATCGCTTCACAGCTTTCAACGTCGATGGAATTCATTGTTAGTTGTGCACTTTTTTTTTTCCTTTTTTTTTTTTCTATTAATTATACAAAAATCCGTGGAACACCTGGTGCCATCGGACACCACGCGATACGAGATCGATTTTTACAACGCGATACGAGACGAGAAAAAACCGTCATTTGTTTATGGAAATCCGTTCGAATCGAGAACGAAGAATTTTGTAACCTCTCTGGACGTTTCGTTGACGTTTGTGAATTTAATACGGTACGTGTATATCTGTGGTGGTGAGTATCGTTTTACGTTAAAAAATAAATCGATAACCAAATGAACGTTTGGAAAGGGAGGAGCAAGAAGAAAAAAAGGGAATATATTACAACGCGAGAAATACGAGGGAAGAACGGTGGACGGTATTAATTTTGATGAAAATACAGAATAAATAGCAACGATGTTCTGATAATATTGAAAAACGGTGATCACGGATGGATATCGGTGATTCACGAGGAAAAATTTCATTGCATTTCCATGCGCAAGGGAAAAGAGAATTTTTTTTTTTTTTTTTCTCTCTTTTTCCCCTCTCGCATAAAATGTACTTGTATATTCTATGCTAATCTATGCCACGTTTTAATATTGCTTTGTGGGCTCGAACTTTGAAAAAACATCCCCCTTCGTTCCCGTGAAAAACAGTCGAATATTGCGATTTCATAAGCTATAAAGACATTTCAGCCGTTGAAATTTGACTTTACATCCCGTTTCCGATCTTTTATCGATGTATTCTGTTTGATGAACTTGTACAATATTCCGTATCATAATTCCATTATAAATCCCATAACAGCATAAATCTCATCGGCATCAATTTCACCATATCCCTCGTTTCCTTTATCCCTCCCCTATTTATTGCACGGTTATTCCTATTTCCATACACGTAGAATAAACAGAAGCGTTAAGCGTCAATCAGAGTGGAGTAATTTGAAGCGGTCCTCGCAGAGGATGGTGGAATCTCGGTGGCGCGTCAACCTCGGAGCCCGGCCCATAATAGGATGCAATTTAGAAACGGTCGAAACAGACAATACCGCGTCCTTCGAAGCGTAAATCATCCACCACGGCGCGGGAACGAGGGTTGGCCGGGATTGGAGAACGGGTTAAAATGGAGGGTGGAGAGTGCATATCTTAATTACAATATTCCCACGAGCTGAGCACAGGAGTCTTGCCCGGTTGGCCGACCAACTTGCCCTTTCCGACCAGCCTCTAGGAATTTAATTAATTTGCCAGTGGCAAGCAGCCTTGCTCCTTGTCGCCGTTCTGAAATATTGTATCCTTCCCACCCTTTAAAACCCACCGCCACCCACCTCGAGCGCTTCAGCCTTCGTACCATCGCTTTTGGCTCACCTTTCTGTCTCTGTTTATTCTATCCTCTCTCTTCTCTCCTCCTCTCCCTTTTTCACTCTTCTCTCGACCCCAAGCACTTGAAGCCGGGCTCGTGTTCTTGCAACGCAACGCGAGCACCCCTTAATTGTTCGGATATCATTGAATTTTATCCGGATATCGACACGAGAAACTGGCATAGGGGACGTGATACGAGACCTCGGTTCTTCTTCGAATTGGATATCTGCGAAACATTTTGCTTTTTTAATTATTGCTTTGGTTTTTTTCTTATTTATTTTCTTTTTTTTTTTATGTGACTTTTGTTTCTTTTTTAATTAATGGATGGAAGGAAAATTTAAAGATTTCTTTTTGAAATATATAATAAACGAAGTTTTGAAAAATCTTAATTTTTTCTTCTGAAAATACCATATTCTGCATAGTTATCTGTAAACAAAGAGAATCAAAATTTAGATTGTGATGCACACAAATTCGGATATGTACATAATATGCACATAACATACATTATGATATTTGATGAAATGAATCTGTTTAAACTCCATTTCTACAAATTTCCATTTAGAATCGAATATTATTTAATTTGTTTTATCTTTCTTGCACAATTTCCTTTTTTTTTTTTTTTTTTTTTTTGTAAGATTCAAATAAGTTCTTACAAAGATGATCAAAAATTTTAATAATCCTGTAATATCTTTAAAATTCCCTGAAAAAGAGAAAATGGTTAATAAGTTTTCTTAACTGTTCCGTTAAAAAAAACTGTCTGTTTACTCGGATAGCAGATAATGGGAAATTAAATAGGAATTCTATTTCATGTATAAAACAGTAAAATGAAATGGTTAAACATTGTTTCTCTAGAATTAATATTACGTGAGAACTGTGCATAAATATCGACCAACACTCAAGTACTTTTTCTTTACTCAATTTAAATACTGGACTTATATCATTCAGATAATTATCATCCCTATTTTTGATCTCCTATATACCGTTACATGATTTTAAAATTATATCTTTCCATTATTTTTAACAAATCTAAACTCTCATTGATAAAAAAATAAAAATTTAATTTTGATGTTCGTAACAGATTCCCGATTAATTAACGATTACTTCGAAAATTAAAATCAATGAAAAGATAAAAATTCGTTTCAATTTCGATTATCAAACTGAATTCGAAATTTACTTTGAAAATGAAAATAAATTTTTAATTGAAATAGAATTGTTAGCCCGATTTAAATATTTTTTATGAAAAATATATAAAATTTAGGCCCATAGAAATTTAAAAATATTAATTAGAATTTTTTAAAAAAATTTTTTCAATATTCTATCTCTTCAATAAAATCCCAGAGTTCGAATACATGTATCCCAAAGGCGTTAGCAACCAATCGGTTGCTCGCTAATTAATAAGTTTCCAGCGAATTTTTTTTTTTATCTTCGGTTTCATTGTACGTTCCTTGTTCGATATTCTCTCGTAACAATAGTGTATAACAAGTTTCGCGGCGTATTACAAAATAATTAATCTCGAAAATGAACTTACGCACTTATTAATAAATGAACTCTTATAAGAGAAATTCTTTCGATTTTACATCTAAATGCGTACAATTTAAAATATCAAAGAATTCTTTAATTTACATTTTAAATATTATTTAAACAACTTATTTAATTTAAGCTATTATTTAGACAAATAAATTAACTAAACTTTATATGTGCCTTCAAGATTCTTTCTTCAGTCTTTGAAACTTTGAAAATTCGAATTTTATTTACAACTACTAATCGTAATTCTATCAATTCTTCATTTCATTTGTCATGAGAAAATAGAGCAAATGAAAGACATAGAAAATAAAAAGGATATCGAAAAGACTGATTAATTTCTCGGTTAATGCATCGATCATCGTTACGTCAATTTCAGATTATCCTGAGAAGACAAAACTTTCTTTCTTTTTCCACAAGATGACCAAAACAGAACTCGAGAAAAAACAAGTCATTTAGTCGAGGTTCGAAAAAACCTGAGGTCTTGAAAGGGCTTAATCGAAGAAAGGATAGATCCGTGGATGGGCGAGAAACGACGAAAGATGGATGAAGAAAAAACGGCAACGAGCGAGGACGAAGGTAGCCATCCGCCTCATCTGCCGTTGAAAAGGTGAAAATCTTGATTTGAGTGAGCGCTTTAGATCGGGCGCGGTCCGGAAAACTCGTAAAAAAAGCACCAAGAGAAGGGGAGAAAATCCTTTGGCAAAGCCATTAACGATGATTTCTCCTAAGCCATCGAATCCCTCTTTCTTCCGTCAATGTCTTCCAATGTCGTGCACCATTGACGTGTCGTGAAAAAAAAAGAAAAAATGGAAGAAAAAAATGAAGAGAAACTGTATGGAGGAACGAGAATGACGAAAGTACCGACAACGAAGTAACGAAATGAAGAACTATGAAAGGAATATAAATGATATGATTAAAATATAGAAAAGAAGTGGTTAATCGAATTGACAAGTGAAATTGTATGTACAAAAAATAGAAAATTTATATCATTTATTGATTTATTTAACATACATATTATGTATATTTAATATTCGATAAAAATTACGATTTAAGCGATAACTCTATTCTATATCAGGGATAATCTTGTAATTGTATCATAAACGAAGTACAAAATAAATTTAATATTTAATGGGAGAATGATTGGAAGAATTACATTTAATTCAATTACAAAAATTGTTAAAATTAATAAATTTTAGAAATACAATTTCTTTGATATATCTTTTTATAAATATTGTATTTATAAATATTGTCATACATTATCGTATTGAATTTGATGCATAGTAGACAGATTTATGTATAAGTTGAATTATTTACAAATTAAAAATTATATTTGAAAATACTATAAGATTTTTTTGCAAAATTGAATTTAAATATTTTAAATAGATGTTAAGATTTTTAATTATAAATTAATAATTTATAATAAATTAAGAAGATATAATATAATAATAAGATATAATACAAGACAATCAAATATCAAAAGTATTATGTATTTTAAATTTCAAAATAAATTTTGAAGAATACATTTTGAAATATAGACAAAAAGAACAAATAGTAGGAAAAAAAGTAAAAATAAGATAGAAATATTAAAATCAATGCTATCAAAATGTCATAAATGAAACACATAGAAATATAAAAAAAAGAAAAAGATAAAATAAGAATTAAAGATCAACGCCATCTCTCGATTACTTTCAGAAGATTTTTAGCATTGAAGAAATAAGGTACTAGATATCAATTAAATATTATTTCATTATATCTTTTTTAAAATTACAATATGTCTACATCTTATTCTGAATCAAATCAATAATATTGAAAATAATATTAAAGATGTAAAGATAAAAAATATATTGAATATTAAATCTATTCTGTACTTCATCTGTTATTATTGTCTTTTGAGATATAACAATCAGCATTCAATGTTGTCTTCTCCTATGAAATGCTTATTTTATCAATATTTTTCTAAATAAAAAATTCTAACTTCCAATGTTTAACAAGAAATAACAAGAATTGTCAATTTTAACTTAATAAATGTGATTAACAATCTCAAAACAAAATATATATTTGTACTAAAATCTCCTATAGAAATTTTTTTTCATTTTTTCTTAGTTATTCCGATCGTTTTATAATTCATTATATCAATAAAAGCACAAACAAAAATTGGAACAAAAATTTTGAAGTTTTTTCGGATGAAATCTGAATATATATATATATATTCATATTATTCATACTACAAGGATGTAGGTATAATAAAAAATGAATGAAAATAAGAGAAAATAAAAGACATTTTTTATAACTGATAAAGTTTTTACTAAATATCAAAAATATATCAACGAAACAATTAAATAACAATTTTAAAAAAACATCTTCTAAATGGTTTTTATTTTTCACAGCTTAATTTTATTCAACTGAAAATAAATAATATTAGCAAATTTCAATTAATCCCGAATGTAAATATTTCAACATACATCAGTTTAACTATTAAAATTAATATATTATGTAAATTGGAATTTATAACAAACAATAAAAAAGAACATCTTGATTTAAATCGAATAGCAATTCATAAAACTAATTATCATTTTTTAAGAATGCAATTATTACAGAATAACTAACAATACAAAAGTAGACGTAGTACTTATTTGCTGTGGCAATTATTTATGTCAATAAAATATTTAGTGATTTTTAATGATATTAATGATATTAATGATATTTAATGATATTTAATGATATTTAATGATATTAAATATATTCAAATTAAAAAGAATTATTTTCAACTTTAAGATTTCAATTATAAAAATATCTCTAAAAAATGAGATCAATCCCAATGAAAAATAAAATTAAATTATTCCAAATTATTACTAATTGAGAAATTTATATTAAGTATTATAAATATTTAATTGTATGGTGTTTTATTGCTATGGTACACTTAAAATAAATTACATCATAACATCAGCCACAACATCTAACATATTATTGTATAATTAATTAGTATTCATTGTTCGATTTACAAGATGTTTTGTCTCAATCACACTGTTAACAATAACATGCCTAAACGATCGACGATCAGGCTTGACAACACAATTTAAAGGTAACTTTTGCATTTTACTGTGTTCGTCCCGCGTCTACATATTGTCTTGTAAGTTACACAGTAAAATGAACGTTTACGCTGCGCGTTTATAACATAATATCAGCCATTGTAAATGATCTATATAAGAATATAAAAAAGTAAGGTCAGAAAAACACAACGAATGGTTTTTCTAACTAGTACGCATTCATCACAATTCTCAAACACACCCCAAATGTTGTGTCTCAATTACCATACTTGAATAATGTGTATTATAAAATTTCATGTATTACTGCAATATATGATCAAAAGAAATGCCTCTGTTTACGACCACGTATAGTAATTCCTGAGATATTAAAATATTATTGTACTGAAACATGATCTTAATAGTATAGACTCTATATGCTGCAACTTGCAGAATATTAATTTTATCTATTGGCAGCAAATATTAAATTAAACTTATATGTATGTTGAGATACTACTTTAAAAGTAGTTTACAAATATTATTCCTTCTTGTATATATTTATCTTGTACGCTATCTAATACCAAATTGACAAACAAAAATATTTTATTAAAAACAAAAATACTGTTCAATTGGTATATATATTACCAATCACTGAATACTTTTTTTTTTCTGTCTA